CTGGTCAGAAAAAGGTAAGACGGGAGTCGGTGAAATGTTACATCTTGAAACTTGGTAATTACTGCTGCTATTCTCTCCGAATGTTCAAACGTTCTCTGTTTATATATCCACCGTTTGGCTCACTTGAATTTGGCGCAATTTCAGTTTTGCACGTGAACTTCAAGTGATTGACCAATGGGGTTGTTTGCTTCGTTTCTTGCCGTTTTTATTGGTCGAAGTTTTTTTAGGTACGTAGGCGTACGATGTGGACTCTCTTTGTTAGGGTTAGAAGGTAAAGGAAAATTGGACGAGTCCACTTAAAACACCGTTAAAGAGTGACTTGTTTGAAAACCCTTACTCATTATAGCTAATAATTGAAAATACCTTCGCAAAAACCCTCTAATTTCTGTAATTCGGTTGTTACAGACGTGGTTACATTTAGAAAATAGCGAAATAATGATTCATAAACATATTGTTTTCAAAACATAACAATTGAATTTATTAGTGTTTTGGTATACATGCATGAATAACATGAAAAGGTAGGACAGAGTCGTGTGCCTTTGATTAGGTAATAGTTTTCCCTGAGTTCATGCTTTAACGGAAGTAATGAGTTCGTATTGAGTGTTTGGAATTGTATGAACAAGTTAGGTGAGTTCAGAGATAATACTTGCATGTGATGTGTTAATCAAAATTGCAACCTTCACCAAAAACCTTCTTAAAAATTTTATACCAAATCTCATTAGCCAGTCTCAATACCCCTTAGCTCAGGAATCCCTAATCTTGAGATACAATGGAAAGATATGAGTTACTATTTGAAAGGAATAAAGTTGTTATTTTGGACCAGGCAAAGGGCAGTATTACTTATAATGGGAAAGGCCTTAATTTTTGTTTGGTACAGTCTCCGAAGACGAAGTGAAAAGTAATTAAGAGGAAATTAAAGGTGGTAGAATTTAACAACAAGCAATGGCTCAATGTTAGAGAGGCAGCCGAATACTCAATGTTACTAGGCTGGAATTGGCTAAGAATAGGGGATTATTCCTGTTCTGGCTTTTTTCTCACCTACAGGGTTTTAGAAAGAAGTGATAAGTTGTGGATGGAAGATTATTGAACACACAATTTTAAACCTTCTGATAATCCAAACATTCTATTCGTCTCCAACACACATCACACACATCCGCAACAGACTCGTTCTCTTGAATCTTTTTTTCCTTGAATGTAGGCGATAATTCAAACGTCGGTGATATCCACGAGCATTGGGGTTACCAATTGTTATGACTTGTTTCAAACGTCGAAGGTGTCCAATTGTTGTGGCGGCCCTTTTTCCTTTAAAACGTCGAGGTTATCAATTGTGGCGTTCTAATGAGATTTGGTATAAAATTGTTAAGAAGGCTTTGGTGAAGGTTGCGTTTTTGATTAGCACATCAATTTAAATTTTACAAAGAAACAAAAAGAAGGAATAACAAAGATTATTCAGTAATCAACAATAACATGTATTGAAAAAACAAGCAAAAATTACAACAATTGTGTTTATTTGAAACAAAAGTTAAGAAAGGGCAAATGGTTCCCCTTTGTACTGATGTGAGATTGTAAATATGTGTTAAAAAGAACTTTTTGTTTAAAATGTTCAGCAGTTCAACAATATGTGAATATATGAGTTTAAATATGAGAAAGTTGTTACAAAAGAATGATAGAATTCTGAGTTGGTTACTTGGCTTTTTGGACAGACAGTTCACAGCGTAAGTGCAATTGTAATTTTTGTGTCTGTGTGTGTGGAGGTCAAGAAGAATGAGAATTCATAGTACATCTGACCCCATTTACTGTTCTACTACTGTTCTTTTCTTTGATTTTCGTGTTATTTATACTTTCTGAATAGGCTCCAGGAACGAGAGCGGGAAAATATTGAAAGGGTGTTATATTATATTATTGGTCAAAAATCAACGAATCACTGTTTTTTCTAAACCAGGTTTGGCAAAGTAAACATCAGAAAATTTGATGTGGCTCATGCTATGCATAAATTGTCCTATAGAAAATATTGCTTATTTTCTATCAATGACCTAATTTGGTATTTTTTTTGTGCGTGGTGTATGTAAACAACCTTACAGTATAATATACGGTGGTATTCCGGTGTCTGTAAATATTCTCCGGCGACTTGTGTCCTGGCTGTATCTAGTTTGTCCACTTCGGTTCTCAACTGACACAGTAACTTCTCATACGACTGCAGGTCTACCACCAAAGTTACCAATCACTTTGATCTAGTTATAATCACTTCGCTAGTCTTCTTAAATACAGTATTCTCACTGTGTTCCCAGGTATTAGCTACCACAACTAGCATCGTCAGTACCATGAGCCTCCTCTCGTCCATGTCTGCAGTGACATGGGAGAATAATTCATCTTACTCAATCATTTCTTATTGTTTTTAGTGGGTGATTACATCTTAGATTTTGATATCTCAAGCACCGACCCATTTTACATGTGCATGCAATGGGAGCCGTCCGCAGTTCACCAGCACTGATGATAAATCTGCAGTTAGTCCTAGACCGTACTCATTCACCACAGCCACTGTATTGGTTTTCAATTAATCTTTGGGAACTGCACCGCTCCCTCAATCGCCGTTTAAGTGGTAATTCTTCATTAACAACTGAAGTGCTTCTTCATCCCACAATTTACTTGCAATTGAGCTAACGGAATTTCATCCTCTTCTTCCCATTCTATGAACAAACAAATTATTCATCGATTTTCTTTTGTTTTAAGGTTAGACTCAATCCCTGCTTCTTCAGAATGTCATTGGGGTCCGATTAAACCTCCCTCAGCCTTATAAAGGTAGTTGAGTTAATTTCAATCTCCTCATCCCCCTTCACTTTCAATCTCAGTCTCTAACCCTTCGGGTTTACCAATGAAAAGATTTCCTCTTTTTTCTGTTGAGTTTTTGTTTAAGGCTCCTTTCTATTCTCCTATTTCAGTTAGCTTTATATCATTCGCATGCAGTCTTTACCTGTCCGGTCAATTTCCCAGATCACAAAGGAAACCGGACCCGTCTATCACGATCCTATAATGGACTTCATCTCTGGTCAATGGTCACCTTCTCTCATGTGGGTTTTATAATAATAATCACCTATCTAAAAGGAAACTTCTCTATTTTTATTTACCCTATCGTTTCGCCTTTTCTGGGCTCTTTGAATCCTTCTCCTCACCTGTGTAAAAATTTTGTTTCTAAAAAACTGTTTGGTGATGATCCTCTTAAATACTTCCTCCTAGGTCGTAACAAATTGTCTATAGGTAAGACTTCATCTGCTATATATCAAGTAATAAGGGAAAATTTTATCGTCTCTTTCATCGAAATCTCACAGTGCTAACGCTTGCGTTACGAATAAATCTTCAATTTTTCCCTATTATCCTCTGTTTGGTTTATTAAAACATCTGTCAAGGTCTTTAGAAATCATTATTTTGGGGTGATGTTAGAAACTGGTTATGTGCTAATTTGTTTAAATTCTCCCAATGTCTCTCTAATATTCACTATTCACATTCTCGATCTATTATTGGAGGATAAGCAACTGTTCTGCAGGGGCCCCATACCTAGAATATTTTGTTCGGTATTATATCTGATATTACCGTGTGTTCGTAATTTTCTCTTATCCGGTATGGCAAATGCCTTTTAAAATTCGTCAAGAATAAACAACTCACTATGTAATATTACCTCTATGTGTTTTTTTTGAGGGCTCGGAGATATCCATGCTTACTTTCTGAAATGGATAATTCGGAACATCCGTTTCTAATACTGGGGCAACCCTAATCCTTCGACTCTGTACTTGTATGTTTTTTTTTTTTTTACATGGTTCACAACATCATTAATCAACGTTAAGCCAGAAGTAATTTTCATTATGAAATCCATATGTCTTATCAATTCCCAGGTGTCAACTAAACCTCCTGTATTTCTGGTCTAATTTTCAGCTCTCAACTTCTCAGGTATCACCATTTTTGAGAAGCTTACTTCCTCACCTCTCCCTGAAAGGTAATACAACCTCCATCGTGCACCATATATTTGAGTTAAACGCCCTGCCTCTTCCCCTGGACCTCAATAGTTGCTATCTCGCTATCCTCTTGGTTTTGCCCTAATCTCTCTCTCGGTGGGGGTCATTGGGAAACAATCTCGTTTCCTCGTTTCCCAACCAAGTCTCTCCTTTAGCGCCCCTCAGGTCCCTGTCACTCAAGCGCGTCCACATATTTTTTGAATAACAAGTTCTGAATAGGTTCACTGTCCTGGTGTTAATAGGGACACCCTGGTGAGTCTTCTGCTCCTATAATCCATGGAAGCTACTGAACTGACCTGCTGGATATTTAGTACTGTCTGTATTGGATGGGATTTGAACCTGTATTGTTTGTTATTGCAGACAATTCTTGCGAGATGCCCTTGATCACTATTATCAAGAATTTGTGGTCAGCCTCTGCACTGTCCATTTGTGGGTGGGGTAATGCCTTCCATAATGTATTCTTGGTATGCATATGACACCACAGATCAAGAGATGTCATATGTCTCTACGATTTCAGTCTGACACATGTGATCATGCTCTGTTTGAGCTTTGTTAATTCATTCAGCTTTGAAATACCTAACCAGTGTTTACACTGACTCACTTGATATCAGAACATATGATGTTGTCTTTCAAGTTACAAGGAGATTGTGGCAAAGAAAGAAAAACAATAACAGTAATTTTGTTTATTATTATTTTTTATTAGATGTACTTAGCTTTAAATATGACAGAACAATAATTTAAAGAAATATACAAAATGGATCAAGAAAATTTTATTTATTTTTTAAATATATAATAATAATAATAATTAAAAATTTGTTCATGTACATAACAATAAAAAGTATTAATAACAATGACATTACATTTGAAATATAAACAGACATGAATAGGGATGAGTGGTGATGAGATAAATGTATTGAATTTTAATAGTGCAGAAGTGAACCTCCATCCAGTGTAGGCAGAAATGTCGCATCCATATAGAAACATATCTCTCACATTTTACAAATAAAAGTGAAAGAAAGAAAGAATATAGTAAGAAATAAAGGAAGAATGATAGTGAGAGGAGAAGAAAGTAAAGGAAAAGATAAGAAGTTGAGAGAAGAGAAAGCAGAAAAAAAAAAGCATGAGAGAAATTTAAAGTAAGAACTGGACATGAAGAGAAACAGAGAAGGAGTAAATGTGAGAGACTGCATAATATAAAAAGAAGTGGAAAAAGAAAAAAAAAATTAAGGAAAAAGGAAATGAAATAGCTGGTAATAAAGAGTGAAATAAGGAAAAAAATAAAGAGATATATTCAGTGTTAGAAAATACTAAATAACCACTTACAAGAAGATTGTAAAAAATCAAGTATATTACATCCTAATGATGTGATATAAATACACTATAAGTTATTCATACATATACGTAAATTACATATTAAAACAAAGTTACAGCAAAACATTTAAATGAAAAAATAAACTAATTTTAGAAAATTCTTCAAATCCTTCTTATAAGAAGAATTTTTTAAATTGTCCAACAAATATTAAACTTTCAAGCAGTTAAAACATTTTCCAAATTAGAAAATAATAGCATTGTAAAATTTCAATCAATACCACCCCTTATTAATGTGTTAAACTTAACAATGACATTATTTTGCAGGTTGGAAAGGACATGGGGGCATATTTTTTAACATGATGGGTTCAAAACATAGGGTACTACTAGAGCATGTATTAAAATAGGCCAGGGATTTGTATTTGAAAGTGAAAAAGGGTTTTCAATCTCATTTACAAGCAACTCCAATCTTATTTTGGGTCAATATTTATTATAACTGTTAAAAAGAAGCCATGATAGAAGCATTCAAATTGCAACTGTTTTTGTCAATTTTATGATAAAAAAGAACCAGTAGTGTGTGCAGACAGAGCAAAACACTGTTTAAGGTTTTGAAAAAGCAATAAAACTTATTTTGCTACCATCAACATAAAATCTCATTTTATTTTATTACTTATTTTAAATTATGCTTTCTTTTTCAAGATTATTCCTCCGCTTAATGTAATATTTTTCCTACTGAAAATTGAAAGTCGGAGAAATTATGTAAGTAAAATATAAACACTTGATAGAGTGCAAGAATTAAAGAAATAGTAAAAGAAATCCAGTTATATTTATTTTTTGTTGAGTTTACCATGTGACCATGCTGGATAAGCTCTAACAAATATCTCTAATAAATATTGTAAATTAAAAATAAGACATGAATATATTTTTTATGATATACAAAAAGAGAGAGAGAGAGAAATACTACTAAAATACTTTCTTGAATTTAAGATGTGTTTTTTTGTTTAAATATTGAAGGTTATTGAAGACAATTAAAGATATAAGATTGAAGGCACATTATGTTAAAATGCTTGCAACATTGATTATACAAAATTGGTGCATAAACATTACAGCAGGTTTGGAAGTACAATATCAGTATCATATACTCTAGTATGATTATATTTATTATTTTGAAAGTGTAATAAAGATGTACTGGGAAGAGGAGATGCTAAATGTGGAAGTCATATGTCAGAGAAACAATATAGAAGTAACTGAAATAAATTAGGTAAGATAATAAAATAGGCTATGAGCAAAAGAAGGTACAGCAGTTAATAAAAATAAAAATGATAAATGACAGAGGAAGGGAAAATGAAGAAGGAGAGAAAAATAAACAGAGAAGGAATGGGAGTCATGAATAGTCAGAAGAAA